GCCACTTTCCGTGTGGCTTGAGCACTTGGAAACTGTCACTCAACAGTTCCTCAGATCCATTCAGGGTGATCAAAGAATATCTTAAATAAACTATTAGTTTGGGGTATAAATCCAACAGAAACATCTTCTAAATTCTTATTTATATGTCTTTTTGGAACCTTTTTGTCCTGTTATGTTTTGTTTTTTCACAGAATCTCACTGTGTAGCTCTGGCTAACCTGGAATTCATTTGTAGATCTGGTTAGCCTGAAACTCACAGTGACGCAACTGCCTTTGTTTCCGGATGCTGCCACTAAAGTGTGTGTCACCACAGTAGGACACTTCTTAGGGAGTTTCTGTTATCGTATGTGTATGTATGGATTTATGAAGGTGATATAGACACATTGTGAAATGTTCAGTCCTGAAGACATGTGTGATACAGACAGCAAGGATGCCCAGGGATTAGGAGCACCCCTCTGTCACCTCCACACTAGGTCTGGCCACTATTTCCCTTCCTTTCTAGAGACAGAACATTATACATGCTGTATTTTTACAGATGGTTTAATGTAAAGTAGCATGAATCTTGTTCGAGAACTCAACTTTTTCTTCTGTGCATAATTAAGTGTATTTAAAATGATTTAAAATAAATTATGAGTCATACCTCAGCCTTTCTTTACCAGTGAAGTGAAATGTGATGTGTCAAACTTGAGTTAAATCCATAATCTCCCTGGATGTGCTTTTGACTTGCTGGTAAGGAAGGCAGGCAGGCAGGCAGGCAAACTGGAGACAGCTTCGTGCGCCATATTGACATTCAACAATGAGAAGGTCAGAGTGAGGAGTTGTTGCCAATATGTTCATCCCAAACTGCAATAAAGCTGTGCTAGCAACTGCAGTCCCAGCTGCCGTTTCCCTGCCCTCTGGGCTAAAATGTGCCATTCAGACCTGCTACTCCCTGCTACATATATGCCAGGCTTCCACAAAGGGCTCTTTTTAAATATCAGTATAATCCTAGATTTTAGGTTTTGAAGACAAACATCCCCATACCAGTTAAGGGGTTTATTTGACAAAAAAAAAATGGAATAGGAGATGACAGATGAGCTTTCTTTCCACTTGAACATTACCAAATAATTTCACAGTATGTCCCCATGAGTATCATACGGAGAGTTTAGCTCTCAGTTTGGTTTTCCAATGCTTTGCCAGAGATGGTTTTCTTGAGGATAATCAACATGTGGAAAACTATCTATTCTCTTTCCCATTCCTGCTTACTTCCTTACTGCCAGGGACGGTAGACATTAAGTCACACTTAGAAAAGTGTTGCATCGGGGGCTGGAGAGATGGCTCAGTGGTTAAGAGCATTGCCTGCTCTTCCAAAGGTCCTGAGTTCAATTCCCAGCAACCACATGGTGGCTCACAACCATCTGTAATAAGGTCTGGCGCCCTCTTCTGGCCTTCGGCATACACACAGATAGACTATTGTATACATAATAAATAATAAATATTAAAAAAAAAAGAAAAGAAAAGTGTTGCATCACTGTGACACCACACCTGGCCTACCCCATTTTCCCATGGGGGACAAACTCAGAGTGGCTACAACCCACCTGCACACACGTCCTTTCCCAGGATAGGAAGGGGGCCATCCAGTCCACATGTTTGGCAACAAAATAAGCAAGAAAGCAAGAAGAGGTGGGGCTTTGAGATTCTACCCTGAACATTACTTCTTTATGGTAAATATCCCTCAGACAAATGCTTACCAAAAAAAAAAAAAATCAACCTTGTATTTCTACTTCTCACAGGTGACACTAAAGCAGGTAATATAAGAATCCTTTGGGAACAAATGTGGAAGGAATCCAAAAGAGGGGTCACGATCACCTCACCTGTTATGAGACCTATGTGTTTCAGCTCTGCCTTACCTACCAAGTGTCAATCAAAACAAAAAAAAATCTAATTCTAGGAAGGTTGGAGAATTAAAAATTAAGAATTATTTTATAAGGCCGTTCCTATCTCTGTCGATCATAACTCGGTTTGATATGTATATTGGCTACCTATCCACGGTCTAAATGCTTTCACAGAGCAGCCTGCCAGGGGTCATTAGCACGCAGCCCGCACAAATGGAGAAGCTGTGCCCTTTCTCCTTCACCAGCCTTCCTTCCCACCGGCAGGTGCACTTCACTCCAGTCACTCAGCAGTCCATGAGCGTCTTCACCCTCTGACTCCTGGGCACTGCCCCTCAGAATAAGGTCTGGGACTACCTGAAGGCATATTCTGAGAAATGAAGATGTCCGCTTTGGGTGTGCAATTGCAAATGAGGACAGCGCTTTAGTGCTGTCGGGGCGGGCTGCATTTTATTTGGGAAATGAGGGGAAAGAATCTTTCCATGATCAGCCACTCCATGTGACATCAGCCCACACTCTGCTACTGACATTTTATCTCCCACTGAACAGCCTGGCTGTTGTAACATTTTCAGGATTCTTAAATTATGTCTTGCAAGATCTAAAATCAGAAGGCAGGGACTTCAAGAAAATAACCAGTGTTGACAGGCACCTTTATATTTCAAGAAGCTGCTACACCTTAATGCTGCTAGAAGTTGGGGAACATTCTCTCCCACTTCTTCCAAAATACGTCCAGAAGATAGGAGGGGGTAAGGACTGTCCTGAACCATTCAGTTTTCTTTTTCTAGATTTATATAAATTTAGGGAAGAAACCTTTTCTTCCACCCAGTATTGCTAACAAGCTTATTATTTTTCCTTAGGATAAAGAATTCCAGCGTATGTTTAATATAAAAGAAATTAGAGCAATGGCTCTCAACCTGTGGGTCGCGACCCCTCAGATCCCATATCGGATATCTTGTATATTCTTGTATATTGAATACTCAATATTTGTATGATTCACAGCAGTAGAAAAATTACAGTTATGAAGTAGAAACAAAATAATTTTGTTTGGAGGTCACCGCACCATGAGGAACTGTATTAAAGAATCACAGCATTAGAAAGGCTGAGAACCACTGCATTAGACTAATCAAGATGTGACCATGTTAATTAAGGAACTATGATAATTAAACTTCTTATTTATAGGCTAGTACTGTGGAAAAGTGAAAGGAACAACAGGCTAGGTCACAAATGGCATAGCGCTTTATAATCTCCCGAATGGTTGAGTATCAGACCACGGAGGAGGAAAACAGAGCAATGATGGCTGCTCCTTCACTGAGGAGACAAAAGAGGTTTCAAAAACGGTCCTGACGAGGCTCAAATCATGCAGCCATGGACTCAAACTGAAAGTGCAAGTTTTCTTTTAACATTATACCATGGCTTTGAAAAGGCAGCGACTTGATTGGCTTACCATTAGAAGCTGCAGTCTTTGCTGTCCATGGTATTGGAGCTGCTGAATACAAAAACGGTATTTTATCCAGTGTATACTTTGCTAGTGTGTATCCTGGCTCCAGAGAGCTCGGCGTCGATCCTTGCCTTTGTGGGATGGATTTATATCTATTTATCTGTAATACAGTGCTTTAAAGTACAGAATCTTGAGCCCGATGACTATCTCTGCCACCAATTGCTGACCCCAGCAAGTTGCTTCCTTTTACCGGGCCTTATTTTCCCGTGCTGTAAAATCAGAGTTGGCCACAGTATTTACTTCATAGGGTTGTTTTGGAGATTTCAACACATTTGTGGAAAATTCTGTGTCGAGCTTAGCACAATCTATCCATTAGGAACTTACATTTAAAATGTAGTATGCATAAACCTGTAATGAGTGTGCCAGAACTTCTACTTAGACGATAAAACTAAAAGCTTGCTCCATCCCTGGGGAGTAAGAAATCAGCACAGTCCTTTTATAAAGTTTTCGACACACAGTGGAAGCTAAAACCACTCCGCATTGCACTGAGTACTATGATAACCGGAAAGTTGGAACTGCACATCTTTCCAGCAGACGGTACAGATTTCACAAGTGTTTCCAGACCACTGAAGTTGTTCATCCCAAAGAACAGAGAGGCAGGAAAGAGATGAGCATCCAGTCCCCATAAACGCAGATGACAGTAAATTCTCATTCAGAAGGTTCAAAATGTACACATAGGTGCCTTAAGTTTAGGTTAAGTGTATGCCCTCTGCACAAATCCAGTAAGTTCTCTCTCTCTCTCCCTCTCCCTCTCCCTCTCCCTCTCCCTCTCTCTCTCCCTCCCTCCCTCCCTCCCTCCCCGCCCCCTCTCTCTCTCTTCCTCTACTCCTTTTCCTGTCACTTTCTTGGCATTCAGACAGGATTTCGCTTACAGGTGTTGTTGCACTCGCGGACGGCTCCAAGAGATAGTTCTTATATTAACTGAAATTGCTAACAACCCTCAACAGATACTAAATAACTCTCAACTGGAGCTGGACCTGGACCCAGGATCCAGACCCCGCCCCAGCGCCAGACCCCGCCCCAGTGTCAGGCCCCTCCCCAGTGCAGACCCCGCCCCAGTGCCAGGCCCCTCCCCAGTGCCGGGCCCCTCCCCAGTGCCAGGCCCCGCCCAAGCGCAGACCCCTCCCCAGTGCCAGACCCCGCCCCTGTGCCAAGCCCCTCCCCAGTACAGACCCCGCCCCAGTTCCAGGCCCCTCCCCAGCGCAGACCACGCCCCAGTGCCAGGCCCCGTCCCAGTGTCAAGCCCCTCCCAAGTGCAGACCCCGCCCCGGTGCCAGGCCCCTCCCCAGAGCAGACCCCGCCCCAGTGCCAGGCCCCGCCTAGAACCCTCCCTGTCTTACTGTAGTGCGTTCGGCTGCCCGCTTGGTCCACAGGACGCTTGCGCATTTATCAAGGCGTCTTGGAACTACCCTTCTTTAAATTAGCAAAAAGAGACGCCTGAGTTTTCGGAAAGCCTCAACACGACCTCTTTCCGTGTCCTTTTAGAGGTCGATTTTGTTTCACTGTCTTGAGAACGTAGTTTCTTTCCTTGACATGGTTTTAGAGAAAATGTTTTCAGTCAGGCGCTCTCTGGACAGTCCGCATCCTGGCTCAGGGTCCCTGCGCCGAGCTTTGGGCGGGCCAAAAGGGAAGCGGGGTCCTTCTCTAGGGCGGTCGCACAGGCAGCGGTTGTGTGAAACCGGGCTCAGGCAACATGTACTACAAGTTTAGCGGTTTCACGCAGAAGTTGGCTGGAGCTTGGGCTTCGGAAGCCTATAGTCCGCAGGTACGAGTTGTGCCGCGCCGTCTCTGGCGGGAGAACGGCGGCCCCGAGGCAGGTAGTTGCGGAATCCGAGCCGGAAGAGGCTTCTGCCGGCAGATCGGTTCGGTCTGCTGGTGTCTCCTGGTACTTAGCCACACTGCCTTGTCTCTAAGGCATATCTGTGTTGTCTCTAAGGCATATCTAGTCAAGGTTTGCACGGCACAGAAGTTCGGTCTGATACCCTGAGGGAGTCAAGGTGACCCCTGGGGTGGCTGCCTGTTTAAGGTGGATTTTCCGTGGAAGTCTGTGGTGCACAGAATGTGACTTGAATTCGTGCTTCAGCTCTCCCTTGTTACCAAATGGAAGGGCGGGATTGAGACTCTTGCTTATAAGGCGGATTTCTTCAGCACAAGGGAAAGCGTGGGAAGTGACACGCAAGGAGGCTTACACTTTCATTAATTACAAAGTAACAGACTTTGACCATTGGGCGAACTGACATCCAGGTCCTTCTTAGAGCCTACCAATGGTGTTTCCGTCTCCAGCCTTGGTGTTGTGAAAATGTGGTATTTTGGAGCTCCATTCACTTTGGGTTAGTACTGAATTTAGCAGCCTTAGTTTTGTGACTTGACTGGTAACTTTTTGTGGTGAGCCCTTTTTGATTCCAGGCAGCAGTGATTTGGGTTAAATGCGGTATGTGTCAAGAGAGCAGCTTTTTTGGCAGATGGTGCTGGATACATGGTATATATTCTCCAGAAGCTCACGCTGAATCATTGCTCAGAGTAGCGCGAGAAAGCTTGGTGGAACACGAAGCTGGAAAACCTTGATTAGAATAGTAAGTGACCCGTCTAGGCTGTAAAAAAAACCAAAATACTCGGTTATTATTGCCCTGTGGAGCACACTGCATTGGTTAGGTTATTATTGCCCTGTGGAGCACACTGCATTGGTTGGGGTAGAGAGTTAGAGCATGGCTTCAATACAAGATTAGATGAACTTTCAGGATAAAGGAGGCCAAGAAGGGCAGAATTTGCTTTTAGGGGAAGACGAGGAAGAAGAGCTTTCAGCTTCTGATGCTATATCATGTCTGGTGCTGAGTTTATGACTATGTCTGTTTCACCCCTTGTTTGGTGGGCTCTTTGCTGAAGGAGAGATCATTCAGGAAGTACATAAGGAAGGAAGAGACTGTCTTTCCATTATGAAAAGTGACAGAAATGAGGAACAGTCCAGCCAGGGTCAGAGGGGGAGCTAGTGTGGTGTCACTGAAACCCAGTGTAATGAGTTGGAAGGGTTGCCAGTGTGCTGATTGATTTCTTGTACAAAAGATGTAGCGAAGTGCTGTTTTCATTGTATCTTCTGTAGTGTGTTTTCAGAGCATAGATCGTGTATTATGCTTAGGGAAGCTTTGGCTTGTGTATGTCATGTAACCCACTCCTTTATTAGTGTGCAGATTATTAATCATATCGCCCTTAGGAAGGTTTCACATATTCTCTCCCTATTAAAAATCCCTGTCTGCCTTCCCATTTTGGCGTTTCTCGCTATAAATAGTTTTGAACCCTTTGTAAACCCCACAACATGTACCCTCCTGTGTAAGGCTGATTTTAAGTGTACTTTTGAGGTTCCTTCTGTTAGCATTCTAGCATTTACACTGGTCTGCTCTCAGGTCTTAGCAGGACCCAGCAGCAGCAGCACCGTGGCTGATGGAACCACTAGTGGAGTGCTCTCTCTGTGCACACACTGCATCCCCTACAAAAGGCGAGCCCTTCTCACCCCACTCTCTTTCCTTCTGACCTCCCACGGGAGCTCTGTGACCTTGTGGTGGTGCCCTTTGACTCCAACCTGCCAAAGTTGTCTTCGCACTGATGCTAAACTGTTAAACCTCACGCTACATATATGAGTGTTTCATCTTATAGATATGTCACTCTTGTAGTGGTTGTAGATATGCTTGTTAAAGTATTTTATTTTTTATATGTAAGGGTGTTTTTGTCTACATGTAAGTCTGTGTTTCTTGTGATTGCCTGGGGCCTGCAGAAACCAAATCCCCTGGAACCAGACTCAGACACAATCATGACCCTCTGTGTGGGTGCTGGGAATTGAACCTGGGTCCGCTCCAAGAGCAGCAGTGCTCTTCACTGCAGCCCCGTCTCTCCAGCCCCGTCTCTCCAGCCCCGTACATACGCCGTTAATGCAGCTAGCTGCAGCACATACCCTATTGCTTCAAAGGAGAGAGTAAAAATTCTCTAAGTGGCATTGAAATAAATTGACACTCAGAGCGGGGATTACCTAAAGGTGTTCTTGATATAGACAGGGCTTTCAGAGTTTTTGGTATCCCTTGAATTAGATTTCACTCTAGTATTAGAATTTCTAAGTTACTTAGAGCTTTTGTTTTTATAGTTCTGGGTATTGAACCCAAGGCCAGACAAGGGCTTTGCCACTGAGCTACATCTCCAGCTCATTTAAAGTTTTCTTAGGCCACGTTGAAAGAGGCAGTTTTGGGTAAGCAGTATATGAATTGTAGATTCAGGGTGATGTGGGCACACGACCACAGATAGCACTAGGGAAACCAGGAGTGTAAAACTGGCAGGTGTTTCTCTTCAGTAAAAGGGTTTACACCTGTTTCTGCCCAGAAAGCTGGGAATGGATGTAGTTAATAACCTGGCGATCCTTTGTTATCTTCAGGGCCAGGCTTCACCTGATTCCCCCAAGACTATTAGGCTTATCCCAGACTTGTGGGCTTATTTCTCAGTCAGTGGAACCCATTCTTATGGAAGAGGTCTTAGGTACTTTGCAAAAGACATGCAGTCATACCTTAAGCTTTGTTGTGATAATAGTCACGTGGAAACTTTTTTCCAAAGTTGTTCTGTGCTTAAATATGTCAAAAATAAACTGCTGGGGTCAGACTCAACACCAGCTAAGTCGTGTTGAACCGGATTTCCTTCTTGCCTCGCCCCATAGTTCCTCTGCCTGCTGTAGCATTTGCAGGAACCCCCAACAAGCTCCCGCCCCCAACATGGCACTCTGATTCTGATAATTAGTAGCATTTTATCTTCCTTTTGTGTACACAGTGCACTGTAAGATGAAATGTTTGTACCATTCAGTGTTACATAAAGTGAATAAGTAGCGTGCATTAAATGACCAAACATGGAAATGCTGCTTGTGTAGCACAGAGATTTGTAAGTCAACTTGATGGCAACTAATTGTTGGGGGCGTATTTTATAGTGGCTGATAAAAAAGCATTCGTCTTTCGTTTTTGTGATGTGTGCCACAAATAAGTTGAGGCATGTGAAAAGGTACTTGACATTACTAGTCATTAAGGAAAAGCAAATCAGGACTGCAGCGAGGTACTACTTCATGTCTGCCAGAATGCCTGTAGTCAAGGACAGACAACAGCTTGTAGAAGTGAACACAGGGAAACCAGAAGCCTACTGCTTTGCTGGAGAGAATTTAAAATGGTGCAGCCACTTTGGAATGCAGTTTGGTGGTGTCTTAGTTAGGGTGTTGGTTGCTGGGGAGGAAAGGGTTGCTTTTGTCTTGACTTTCCAGTCACACTCCGCCACTGCGTGAAGTCAGAGCAGGGCTGAAGCAGAGCCCTGGAGCGGTGCTTCTCAGCCTTCCTAACGCTGCCGCCCTTTAATACGGTTCCCCACCACAAAATTATTGCATTGCTACTTTAACTGTAATTTTGGTACTGTTAGGAATCATATGTAAATATTTGTGTTTTCAGATGGCCTTTGGCGACCCCTGTGAAAGGGACGTTTGCCCTCCAAAGAGGTTGAGAACCACTGCCACAGAGGAACACTGCTTTCTAGCTTATTCCTACCTCATGGTTTGTTCAGTCTGCTTTTTTAAAGCACCAAGGGCTACCACCCCAGGAGTGGCACCACCACAGGCCAATGTTGGCGGCATTTTCTCGAGAGTCCCACTTCCCTGATGACTCCAGCTTGTGTGCAGTTGATGTAAGATTAGCTAGCATAGGTAGTTTCCTAAAGGGGCAAAATAGGATTTTACTATATGACCCAGCAATGGTAGTTAAGAGGCTAGAATGATAGTCTAGGTGTAGGGAAAGGAGCTGGGGTGGGGGGAGCGGGGGGAAGAGGGGCAGACGGGGACTATTGAGTAAGTTTGGCTGTGGAGGTGAATCATGAAGGCCTATGATAAAATAACTACATTTTATAAGAAACTAATTAGAGATGGGATGCAGAAAGTTGGGGCAGAATATGTCCTCTTACTGATGAGTGGCATCCTGGGGTGAGGAAGGCGTATTTGAGGCGACATGCGAATGGGCGCGCTTTCCCTGGAGACCGGGAGCTCCTGAGTGGGTTGGTAGTGATTTTGAGGCATTTGGAGTGTGAGGTGGCAAAGGGGCATGGTGAGGATGTCCAGCTTCAATTAGAAAGGATTTGAGCCACTGAAGAGTTCATAAATCAGAGGTGAACAGAGTGATAGGTTTCTAACACTTAAAACTGGGTTTTTAAAATTTATTTTATGTGTATTATGAGTGTTTTGCCTATGTGGATGTATGTATATCACATGTCTAGTGCCCACAGAAGTCAGAAGGCGGCCCTGGTTCCCCTGGAACTGGAGTTAAGGATGGTTGTGAGCCACCATACTGGTCCTCAGCCAGAACAAGTTCCCTTAACAACTGAGCCTTCTCTTGAGCTCCCCAATAAACAACATTTTTTTTAAAAAAAAAAAAATGGAGGTAATTTTCTGTCTCCACCTGTCTCAGTCCTAAAAAGTAAAAGAAAATGCCGAACCTATCAGCTTCAGGAGGAAAATCAGGTTTACTTTGCCTTTAAATCTTTCAGCCGGAGACTGGGGAGGTGACTAATCCATTAGGTAGCACACCACTCTCTCACGGGACCTAAGTGTGGCTGTCAGTACCCAAGTCCATTGGCTTACTACCTGAGACTCCAGCTTCAAGGGATGTGATGCTGTCTTCTGGTCTTCTCACACCTGCATTCGCACGTACACAGATGTGCCACCTCTGCCTCCATTCACTCATACAATATGCGTAATTTAAAAATAAATCCTTTTTTAATGTGAGCTGGACAGGCTGTACAGCAGTACTGCCAAACCTGCTACTGCTCACACTGTATTTAATAAAACCTGTTTCCTTTCTTGAAAAATTGAACCCCGTGACCTGGCACAGTGGAGTAATCCCAGCATGGGAGGTAGAAGCAGAGGGGCAGGAGTTCAAGCTCATCCTTAGCTACGGAGTAGGTTCTAGGCCGGCTTGAGCTTCACGAGACCCTATGTTAAACAAAACACAATTTGGAGCAGTTAGAGGCTGGAGGAGGCAAGATCAAGCCCTTGTTTAGCATTCTGTGGCCCTGTCTTCAGTCTCCAGGACACATTCCTTCCTTGGATTTTAGCAATTAAAACAGGAAGAATTTAAATGTGTAAACTGTTTAGAGGTAGGGTTATGTACAGTAGTATTAAACAGTAAAGCCTGGTTTTGCTTAGGTTAGAGAATCTTCCAGGTGTTTCCCCCTTGCTGCAGGAGTGGAGGCTCTGCCATCGATTGCCGGTTCGTAGGCTTCAGTTAGGAGTCTACCTTTTGTTGAAACTAGCCCTGGTTAGTGCAGTTAGCAAATGTGTATGGGAGATGCTGTCTGTTAGTCTTGGGAATGTGATCAGTGACCGAAACATGCTAGAATCCTCTTGTGGGACTTCTGTTGCACAAGGGGGAAGTCAGCAAATAGAGAGGGATGGAGCGTGTTGGGTGGCGAAGTGCTGTGGAGGATGAGGCATGAATGAGGCTAGTGGGCTAGCTTGTTTGCAGGGTTGGGAGGGGTACCCATTAGAGCCTGGTGTGGTGCTATAATCCTATCACTTGGGAGGCAGAAGTGGTAGAATCAAGGGTTAAGGCTAGCCTGAGCTACAGGTGCGTTAAGGGCCAGCTCATGATACATAAACCTGGCTTAAACAGCCAAAAAAGTGTTTTGGAAAAGTTTCCCAGGGGTGAGGAAAGTACAAGCCAAGCCATGTAGAAATCTGAAAACCATTCCAGGCAAAGAAATATGTTAGAGTCCGAGAGGCTTATAGGGCGTGGGGATTGGGTGGGCTTAGGGAGCAGGAAGGGACTGAAATAGGGGACTGAAGAGAAGGGTGCGCCGTGCAGAACCCTAAAGCTTTTAGAGCTTGGGGTTTGGTTCTGGGGGAGCTTGAGTCTCCGGAGTGACTAAAAGACAATACTTCCAAGATCTGGAGCAGCTGAGAGCACTGGCTGTCCTTCAGGGGATTCCTTGCCCCTTTCTGGTGGCAGTCGTGTGTTGCACAGGCATACTTGCACTACAGGCATAGACGCACTACAGGCTTGGCGCACTACAGGCATACATGCACGTAAGCCACTTCCTGGTCTGGCCGGCTTTCCGGAAGCCCAGTGCTGCTTAACTGTCTGGAAACACGGGATGTTGGTTGCTTTAACACTACTTGGTGATTTATCGCGATGACAGCAAGATGAGGCACCGTCATATCCATTCTGTTTACCCGAGGGCCAACAAACTGCATCAGCAGTGGACAGTGTGGTAAAAACAGCTGAGCTCCATTGGGGAGAATGCACAGCTCGTAAGAATTGATAGTAACCTTAACAGCCTGTGCTCTGAATTTTTACAGTGAATATATGAAATCGCTTAGAACTGTCGCGGTGACTGATATTCTTGTGTCTGGTGTAGAGCAAGTGAGGGTCATTCATGCCTGTTGAGTGAGTGAATGCGCTGCCCTAGACAGGCCGTTCCTGCGGCAGAGCAGCTGCTCTTCAGTGCCTTTGTTTGGTAGGTTTAGGTTTAGAATTAATGCCTAGTTGGTGGGGGCAATGTTAATGTTTCATTAAATATATTTTCATAATTCATTCTTATCTTCCCTCCGTATTGATTTTAGATATCTGATCTTTAGATCTTGTCAGTTACAGATAAATTTCTCTGAGAAGTAAGAACTCCAATGACTGCAAAGGTCAGACTTGAAACTTCTTCCAAACATAGAATTCTATTTTTCTTTTCTTTTTTTTTAATATTTATTTATTTATTATGTATACAATTTCTACATGTATGCCTGCAGGCCAGAAGCAGGCACCAGACCTCATTACAGATGGTTGTGAGCCACCATGTGGTTGCTGGGAATTGAACTCAGGACCTTTGGAAGAGCAGGCAGTGCTCTTAACCACTGAGCCATCTCTCCAGCCCTCTATTTTTCCTAGGTAGAATTTAAGGGGATGATTTTACTGGCTTGTAATTCTTAATCTTAAACCTTAGTATCCATATTGTTTGGAGAACCGTCTGTGTGTGTTGCTTTGCAGCATTGTACCTTCAGATAAACATCACAGCGTTCCCTGGGTTTGGGGTGCTGGGGCTGCATGCGTTAAGCAGGTGCTTTCTCTTAGAGGTGCTGGCACGCGCCTTTAATCCCAGGGAGGCAGGGGCCAGCCTGGTCTTTTATGGAGAGTTCCAGGACAGCCAAGGCTACAAAGAGAAAACCCTGTGAAAAACCAAACCAACAAGGCAGCCTTTTATCCTAGCACCTCTTGGGTGGAAGAGGCAGGTGAATCTCTGTAAGTTTGAGGTCAGCTTGATTCCAGATACAGCAGATTCCAGACCACTCTGTCTAGAAAAAGAAAAGAAAAAGAGAGATTTTGTTTTTGGTATTGATTTTAGCTGTGCGTGTCTCTGTGTGGATATATGCACCTGTGTTTGGGTCCTGTAGAATCGAGAGAAGTCAGGTGCCCTTGTGGTTGTGAGCCACCCTGCATTGGGTGCTAGGAACTGAACTCGTGTCCTCTGCAAGAGCAGCACATGCTTTTAATGGCTGAGCCTTCTTTCCAGCCCCTGTAGTTAATTTTAGAGGAATTGTATAACTTTAAAAGAGAGCTGTCCTCCTCAGCTAGCACCCTCTCACACGCTGCTGTAAGCAGCCAGTAACTATTGCTAGAGTTCTATTCTGCACTGCTGTTAATGAAATCATATAAGGTGTAGCCTTTTGCACCAGAATTCTGTGTGTGTGTGCGTGTGCGTGTGTATATGTGTGAAGCCAAGGTCAGACTAGTTCTCAGGAGCACACCCCACCTTATACACAGCGTTGGGGCTTGAGCTCAGCCCTTCATACAAGAACAAGCGCTTTATGGACACAGTGCTTCTTGAAGCTCACCTTGGGCCTTGCTTGTCCTTCCTGGTAGAGTTCTTGACAGTTTGCTGTGGGAAAGCAGATAAGGGTGTTTTGTCAGAGGGTTGAGAACTGCCCAAAGGCCTCGTAATGCAAGTGATAGAGACCCTCTTCCTTCCCTTATATAGTTAGTGCTGTGTCTGCTATCCCAGACAACCTGCCTTCGGAAATAGCTCAGCTGCCGAGACATACTCAAGGCTTGCTGTTGTCCTTTGCTTTTCTGCAGGGGTTAAAGCCAGTGGTTTCCACAGAAGCACCACCTATCATATTCGCCACACCGACTAAGCTGACCTCCACTGTGACAGCGTATGACTATGCAGGGAAGAACAAAGTTCCAGAACTGCAGAAGTTCTTCCAGGTGAGCGAACTGAAGGGCATAGATGTATGCATGGGGGGGAGCTTCTGAAGCCCGAGTTCATATTAGTGAACTGCCAGCCTCCTTTTTCCTCAAATAGAACTCTTGCTTTTAGTTTGATCCATTAACTCCTAGAACCTGTTTTCAGGTAGATGCCAGTAATGGAGGGAGGATGGTTAATGACCTCATGGCCGTGTAACATGCACAGATTTTCAGATCACTCATGTAGAATGGCTCCTCATAATCACTGTGAGAGAACATGGGAGTGCATGTAATGACACTGAGTCAGCCAGTGCCTACTTATGTGTCAGACACAAGTGTGTGTGTGTGTCTGCGTCTCACGTGTGTGCAGAGGACAGAAGAGCCTGTTGAATCCCCAGGAGCTGGAGTTACAGGTGCTGTGGGAACTGACCTGAGGGCAGCAAGGGCTCCTGACTGCTGAGCCAACTTGCCAGCTCCACGCAGCAACTTTGGGTAGCCAGTTTTCTTCTGTGTTTGGCTTGTTTGGTACTAGAACTCACTGTGTTGTAGGTAGAAGTTAGGAGCCCTCTTAGGTAACTCGTCAACACTGAGAAGCCAGAATTGACACTTCAGTATGATCAATCTACTGAGAGATAACCAAGCACCTAGTGACCTGAGTGCTGGGGAGTGCAGAGCCCACTACAGCTATCCCTCAGGGTTGCCACCCCCACTAAAGTATGTTCAGGTTCAGCCCACCTGGCCATAGAGCATTTTCATGTTGCTCAGTGTAAGTCTTAAATCTGATGAGTAACATCTAAGAGGCTCTTGGAGTCTGTACAAAACATGGATTAAATATCCTACAGGATTGGATTATAAGCAAGTTTTAGCCAATTGATGGAAGGAAGGCCTGCTGGTTAGAGATGGACTGGAGTGTCACTAACTGACTATATTCTGACTGTGTGCCCCATGATCAGAACATTCCTTGTACCTGTGCTGTTTCAGCTGCTGGTAGAGTAATATAAATATATAATAATATAATATAAATATATAATAATATATATAATATATTATATAATATATATAATATAATAATATATAATATAAATATAAAATAATATAAATATATAATAATATAAGCTTTGTAGAGTAATATAAAGGCCATAGAAGCATGGACTTTGCTGTATAGTGTTGCCTCAGACTCCACTGTAGAGAATGGCTTCATACTAAAGTCTTGAGCCCAATTTTAAAGGAAGGCAGTGACCGGTGTCTTGCCACACTCTGGTGTGTCACAGTGTCCCACTGTGTCGCCTTTAGGGAGTAGTTTCTGTTCAGTCTGTTGTAAAATCTTGTCTGATCGGCCAGCTCATTGTTAATCCTTGCTCTCCAGAAGGCTGACGGTGTGCCCATCCACCTGAAACGAGGCCTTCCCGACCAAATGCTTTACCGGACCACCATGGCGCTGACTCTCGGAGGGACCATCTACTGCCTGATCGCCCTCTACATGGCTTCACAGCCCAAAAACAAATGAATTAGCCTGTGGGGACTGGTTTGCTTTGTGGCATAAACCCTTTGAATTTTCAGTTTTCTGATTTTTTTCCCACTTGGATGGTCTACTAACATTTTTGCAAACAAAGGAAAAGATAAGAGCACAAGCGTTTCGGTTATTTATGAAATGCAGACAAACCTCTTGGATGTCAGACTCTTTCGACAGTTAAGACTGTCGTTTGAGGGGGTGACACTGAGCCATATTTGTGCTCCTGATTTCCCTGGAGGCTCTGGATGGAAGTAGCTCCCTGCCTCATTAATGGCAGAGAGCCTGTGCTCAGGGCGTCTGGGACTCCAGGCTGTGTCTCAGCAGAAACTCCAGAAGCCTTTCTGGGTTAGCTGTGACTGAGGGAGGAAGACAGCAGCTGGAGAGGTCCGGCATATGAAATGAGGGCTTCAAGTTAGTCTTCTGGGGACTTTTTCCACCTTGTGAGATGTTAGTAGAAATATTTGCAGTCTGCCTGTTGTTTGGGCAGTTTGTTTCCAAGGGTTATTGCTGCACCCAGCCCCTTAATGAAATGTTATTTCTCCATCATGGAAAAGAGAACACTTGTCAGTGTCGCGCTTTAGATGGCTGGACCAGAAATTCTTCAATAATGCTATGGCTTTAAGTCATGATTTATTTGACTGTGGAATAAATACATGAATAATAATTTGTGTCTCACTCTGTTTCATTGGCTGACCTGGAACGCACTGTGTAGACCAGGCTGGCCTCAAATTCACTCTGCCTCCCGAGTGCTGGGATTAAAGGGGTGCGCCAGCTTGAGGTAAGATCCTGTTTAAGAAAGAGAAATGAAATAAAAACTAAACACCTCTCCCTCAACAACCTTAAGTGCTTATAAATTTTTGAGGGGATGGGGCGTGGGGGTGGTGGGATACAAGCCCCTCCTTACTTCCTTGATGAAAACCCAGTGTACCCAATCTTGTGTTCCCATGGGGACAGGGGGCGTCTCACTTGCTATGAGTTCAAGAGGACAGCACCAGAGACAGCACTCTCAGACGCCCTCCTCTGATCTCATGTTTTTTTTTCTACACACTCTTGGATTTTGAGGGTTTGTTATAGATGTAAACACCACCCACTGTCCAAAGCTGACAGAGCACCAGTCCGGGGCATTAACATATTTATAAGGCATTTCATAAACATGCCCACTTAGCAAAACAAACCACAGCAGCTTCTTCATTAGTGTCAGTGATCTCCTCAGCGATGGGCTTTTGATTGAATTTAGAGTGACAGGTGAATTTCTTGTAGAGCAGCCCTCAATTCCAATTGGAAAGCAGTTGGTTACTCCTATGGGAGTCATGCCACTATTGCACCAGTAGGCACATCTTGCCTGACAGATTGGTAGATAGCACTCAGGGCCCACTTCCCCAGTCAGGTGGGGGAAGGACTTGCTGTTGATTCTCCTCCAGCAGCCTGCTTAGTCTCCTCTAAGGCTTGCCAGTGGAGTGAAAGCTTCTAGCTCAGTCACAACTTGCTTTTGCCAGATCCTGCAAACAAAGGGTTATTATCCTCACCAACAGGATCTTACCATCCAGTTCCTACTGGGCATAAACAGCAATAGCAATAATGTTTTGGAGGCCTCATTGACTAACAGCTCATTGGGAGGTAACCTGTCCCCGACACTAGGATTTCCACTCAATAATCTATGACTTCTAAGAGCATCGTTTGCTACCCACACAAACTCTTGATTTAACATGGACAGTCACGGGATGTTGGAGGAGTTTTTCCTCTCCTCAACTTCGTGTGCCATCTGTGCCTTGCCAATAATGAGGTTCCCAAGAATTTCACAGCTGTGCCTGGTCTTTGCATCGAGTGTAAACTGATGGCCCATGCTCAGGCCCTTGGCAACGCTTCTATGGCTCTCAAGTGCTCTTCTAAGTCTGCAAACATGGAGAGCTTAGCATCCTATCAGCCAAATGAAGCCTTTTGCAAAGGGTGGGCAGGCCCACTGAAGGGGCCACTACCCACCCGCCATTTCAAGTACAGATGGCTCTCAGGGATCAGCTAAGGGACTCGGAAAGAGAGTTGTTTACAAGGTCCTATCGTTTTCTCAAAAGGATCGGGGCTGAGTGTAGCATGGGTGGGAGGCGGTGCGCCAGGCCTCTGCAGCCCAGCTATTCGTCAGAAGTCCTGCTGTCTCCTGGGCTTGACTCCTTTTGCTCTGACTTACCTAGGTCACCAGGGTGCATAGCTGTGCTCTCAAGTGCTGTACCTGATTGGAGTCGAGCTTCTGGGACCTGACCATCTCTGGGCCCGAACGTGGCAACCTGCTACCTCTCCACTGGCCACAGCTGCCTTTCTTAAGGGCACTGGGGTGGATGAGCAATGTCCAGTGTAATTAGTGCACAGCTTACTCTCCAGGCATAACTACCCACTCTTGTGACAAGCTTAACTTTTTTTTCTATTTTTGAAAACTTAGTTTTTATTTCTATACAAACAGCATACCCTCCCCACTTTTTGTCTTCTTTACCCAGTCTCCCCTACCCTCCCAGAGAACTGTACACAGTGTTCAGGGATGGAGTGACCAGGAGGCCCTTGGCTCTCTTTACCCCCAGGCTGAGCCCCAGCTCCCACATTCATTGGCAGACTTGGACTTGAGGTAGGAGCAGCGCACACTATACGGCTTTGATTCCACTGCCACGCAGGAGCAAGAGTGCATTCCTGTTGTGGAATTTATTATTTATGTATTTATTATTTGTTTGTTTAGGTTTTTCCAGACAGGGTTTTCTGTGTAACAACCCTGGCTGTCCTGGAACTAGCTCTCGTAGACCAGGCTCACCTTGAACTCACATGGAATAATCTTTTTATACACTGTGAAGATGTGTCTCTGCCAAGGTTCCTTCTGATTGACTTAATAAAGAGCCAAATGGCCAATAGCTAGGCAGGAGAGACTAGGTGGGTCCAGGCAGAGTGAGGAAGGGGAGGTGAATCTAGATGCCAGGGGACACAGAGGAAATAGGAAGTACAAAATGAGAGGTAAAAAGCCACGAGGCAAAGCACAGATTAATATAAGTGGGTTCATTTAAGTTCTAAGAACTAGTGGAACAAGCCTAAACTACACATTGAGCTTTTATAATTTAAGTCTCTGTTGTTTTTTGTGAGCTGGTGGCCCACAGAAAAATCCATCTACACGTTCCTCTCCTGAGGGACCAAAGCAGATATTGTCTAACCAGTAAATATGGCAGGACTGAACTGTATTTAACATTTCTGGGGGCCAGGGTGTGGTGGTTTGAATAGGTATGGCCCCCATAAGACTTGTGTGTTTGCATGCTTGACCCATAGGGAGTGGCGATGTTAAGGGTGTGGCCTTGGAGGAATAGGTGTGGCCTTGGGGAAGTGTGTCACTGCAGGGGTAGGCTTTGAAGTCTTATGTTCAAGCCACACCCTGTGCACAATCTTTCTTCTGCTGCCTGTGAATCAAGATGTAGAACACTCAGCTCCTTCTCCAGCACCATCTGCCTGCACAGCACAGTGTCCTGCCATAATGATTCTGGACTAAACCTCTTAACTGTAAGCCAGCCCTAGTTAAATGTTTTCCTTTATACTCACTGGGCAGTGGTGGTGCATGCCTTTAATCCCAGCACTGGGGAGGCAGAGGCAGGTGGATCTCTGTGAGTTCGAGGCCAGCCTGGTCTACAAAGTGAGTTCAAGGACAGCCAGAGCTGTTACACAGAGAAACCCTGTCTGGGCAGTGGGGGGGGGGGGGTCGCCGTAGACACGGTGTCTCTTCACAGCAATAGAACACTGACTAAGACAAGTGGGCTGTGCAGCCACAGAGTCCCAAGTTTTGGATCACTCTGCACAGCTCCTTGTCTATGGCCTGGCCTGTGATGTCAGTCATCTGCCACTGCGGAATGGAGGTGCTTGCTATCAGGCCCATCCAGTCCAGTATTGCTATGGAAAAAAACAGCAACTGCAGGCCCCAGTTGGCCATTTCCATCTCAGAAAAGATGGAACTTCGGAAGGGCAACCCAACAGTAGAACAAAAAAATCTGGGGAGCTGTGCAGGAAAATTTGAATGGAGGTTAAAGATACCTCGAGACAAAAAAGCCTTTGGCCTGGTGACCTCAAGTCTTGTCAACTGAAGTAAACACAAATCAACCCTTCCAGGGGAGAGATGGTCACATAGCAGATGGAACCAGCTTCAAAGGACTGGGTCCAGTCAAAAGCACCCCAATCAGTTGTTCAGATACTACCCAAAGACCGTTTGGTGCTATTTGGGTGTGTGGTCCCCAGAAAGTATCGGACTGTGCCTGCGTGAGCAACAGAAGTAGCTGGGCGGTGATTCAGCAGGTGTGGGCGCAAATTTAGTTTGTTTTCTCTGCACCGCTGTGTTGTATCTACTTCTTAACCCTTTGCCCAGCCTTCCGGGGCGCATAGACACCAAATTCAGCTTCCACTAGTTTTCCTCCTTCGAGACCTACACCCTACTCTGATAGATATTACCACATGACTTTCATGTGCCTTTGACAAACCCCCTTTGCCTTTTTTTTATTTCTCACACCCTCTTGATCATTTCTGCACTTCACGGGGCCTGATCTACAGGCCAGTTTAAACCAGCCAAACTTCCAGAGTCAATTACACCTTGGAATGACCCGTGTCCTGCCATGGGGCTTAGCAAAAGCTGCCGAAGTCTTCTACCAATGCCCATATCCCTGCTGCATCAACTTTTTTCAGATGTAGGGGCAGGGCGGGAGCTGTATAGACTTGTGTGTACGTGTTTGTGTGTGCACGTGCATTTGTGTGGGTACCTATGGAGGCCAGAGGACAGCCTCAGAGCCTGCTGAGTAGAATAGGCTAGCCGGGCAGAAAGCCACAGAAACCCACCTTTCTCCACCTTCTCACATGCCACCGTGCCTGGCTTTCTGGACTTCAAACTGTGGTCTTTGTGCTTGCAAAGCAGGCTGTTCACTGATTGAGCTACGTCTGCAGTCCCAAACTCAATTTTTTTCTTAAGTCCTGTGAACACAGTGCTATTTGGCCCGAGGATCTGGGCACCAAAACTGCCTCTTTGATGCCTCGTTCCCAGTAATTCTAGTCCTTTTCTGCCTTCCAGGGCATGAAATTAACGGGGCTCTCGGCCAGAGCTAACCAACTGTCCCTAATGGCCTGCAGGAATCAATCCATTAGGGACCGAGTTCCCTCAGATTTCCTTACATTAACTGCCAATTTATCCCCAGGGAGGGGACTCATGAGTCCCCTTCTGGCAACTGTTGGCTGCCTAGAAATCACAAGGAAGGGGCAGAGTCTCATGAGCACCCTGTCCCTGCATGATGGGACTCTTAGGAGTCCAAGAGGGCGTGTTGTTCTTGACTACCCTCTGAGCCAAACAACCACCATCTTGGGGTGTTCAGCTGCTCCCACTAACAAAAGGATTATTCCTGCTGGGCTTGTGGACTGTTCACCTCCCTTCCTGGAAGGGTGGGGAGGGTTACAAGACTATGACCTAAGTACCCAGCCTCTCCCTTCACCTGGTGGAGGCAAATCGGCCTTAATCCCACATGGCCAAGGGGAGGGGCTAGAGCATTTAGGCTCTGGAGGACAGGGGAGAAGTTCCATCTGTGTAGGTATGGGAAAGCGCTCATCCCTGCTAGGTCAAGGCTTTCCCGATGCAGCGTTGTTGGAAAGAAACACTGAAACCATATACGGAGC